TTTTCTTTGGCGCAAAAATGCGGGAAACTATTTTTGAGTCCCACGAAATTTATTTTTCAAGAAACAGACCAACTTTGGTCGATTTTTGCAATTAAAATAAATAAAAATTACTATTAAAAAAAATCGACCAACTTTGGTCGGTAAATTCGGCCGGTCATTTTAAAAACCCGATCAACTTTGGTCGATAATTTTATTTTTTAATAAAACCGACCAACTTTGGTCGGTTATTTTCGTGCGAAAATACAATTAAAGAGTATAAATAAAAAAAAAAGACAATCTTAAAACAAAATGCACCAATGGTCTAGTGGTAGAATAGTATCCTGCCATAATACACACCCCGGTTCGATTCCCAGACGGTGAATCTGTTGATTACATAATTTAAATACCGACCAACTTTGGTCGGTTTTTTTTTTTTTTGGCAATATTTTTTTATGAATTTAATTTACCGACCAACGTTGATCGGTAATTTCCGACCAACTTTGGTCGGTATACTAAAGCGACCACCAAAATACCGTCCACGTGTATTTGGTCGCATTTTGGTCGGTAATTGGCCATAACCGACCAAAGTTGGTCGGTTTTTTTGGTCGCTAATTACCGGATTTCTAGTAGTGTGCATCGGTTGGAAAAGACAGCATTCAATGAGCAGTTGTTACAAAGAATCTCTATATTAATACTCAACCGTTATGCAGCCATCAAGAGGGATTTTATTCTCATTCAAAAAGAGTTTGATTTGGGGATCTTGTCTCCCTGATAGAGCTATAAATAGGAGGACATGTATCTATAGTTAGACATGAAAAATCATATGTACCCAAAGGCTATAATTTGCTCTTACTATAGAAAATTACTCTCATTCTGTTGTTCTTAACATTATTTTTGTTATCGCTTCAGGAGAGGCGCACCATACAATCAGGCTTGTATTTCTTCAAGTTATTTAATAATCTTATTTTTGTTCTTATTATTTTTATATTCTTGGATCAAATTAATTCACGTGTCTATAAACCACGTTACAAATTTAACTGTATCATTTTATGGGTAAACAGTTTAACGTCCACCGTGGGACATATACAATTGTGTAATTACTTTAATCCAATCATCTATTACTAACGAAGTTTGATTCTTTTCTATTAGAAGAAGAAAAATAAAATATGGCAGCTAATTATATGAACAATTCTTTCAATGTTGGAACACACAACGAGCATAAAGATATATTCTAACGTGATGATTCAACCAATGGAACTCGCAACGAAGGAGATGAAACAAATCTGGTTCGTGGAGAACAAAATCCTCAACGTGTGAGAAGACCAACTCCTGACGTATGGACGATGAACGAGTGGTTGAGACGGTTAAAATTTTGAGAGAGCAACAAAGGAAAATTATGAATCATCTCTCAAGACAAGACCGGGTGATGACAGAATTGAAGTCGGCGCTTTCGTTTGCTTCCAATAACTCCAATGGAGGAGTTCAGATTCCTCCCAGCATCCCTGCAAATCAAACAGTTGAAAGGATCGGTAACGACGCTCCAAGGGAGGAGTTCAGTTTTAACGAGGCAGGTGGATCAGGTAGTGGATCCGGGAATGACAATAACACTAATGATCCTTTCAAAGTCGAGCTCATGACATTCGTGAGGGAGATGAATGAACGAATGGACCAAAATGCTAAAGAAATCCATGCTCGGATGGATCAGATCCCGGGAGCGCCACTGGTGTTGAAGGGAGCGGATTCCAAGAAGTATGCACAATTGCCTTTAAAACCAAGAGCGGCTCTGGAGTTGATTCCAAAAAGCTTCAAGATGCGAGATATCCCAAAGTATGATGGGACTTAGGATCCACAAGAGCATATCACGACTTACACTATGACTGTAAAGGTAAATGACTTGGCCCTGCACGAGAGAGAATCTGTTTTGTTGAAAACATTTGGCGAAACCCTAACGAAGGGTGCTTCAACTTGGTATTCTCTTTTACCTGAGCATTCAATTAATTCTTTTGAAATACTTGCAGGTTCGTTCATTAAAGCTCATGCTGGAGTAAAAAAGGTCCAGGATAGAAAGGCGGATATATTCAGAATCGCCTAAGGAGAATCTGAACTATTGCAAGAGTTCGTGATCCTGTTTCAAAAGGAAAGGATGATGTTGCCGGCAGTATCAGATGAGTGGGTAGATAAAGCATTTACTAAGGGTCTCAATCCATTGAGCTCCAATTCCTCTAAAACATAATCGTTACGAATCAAAAATCAAAACTGAAGATTATCAACTGATCTCTTCGATGTCTTCTAAAGGACGTAAACGTGATCAAAATCAGGACAAGTTCAAAACTGATATAGATGCAGTTCAGAGGTCTTCTGGAAGTCACTTTTAGCCTTACGAAAAGGCTGCGGGGCATGCAAATAAAGGATTTCAGTCATCGGACAGGTTTGTTGCAGAAAGAAAAATAGATCATGGTTAGAATAGCAGAGCTTTACAGGAGAAGGAATCATCGGGGTCCCGAGAATCAACATACCCCGAGTTGTCCAGTTATAACATTAATATCAGCTTAATACAATTGGTGTCGGCTATGAGGAACATTAAGGAGGCTAGGTTTTCAAAGCCAATTTGATCAGATCCTAGTCAAAGGGATCCTAATCTATGGTGTGAGTTCCATGGAATGCATGGTCACAGGACTTGGGACTATCGACACCTTTGTGAAGAGGTTGCAGCATTAATGAGGAATGGTCACCTTAGAGAATTTCTAAGTGATCGGGCCAAAAGTAATTATGGGAAAAATTAAGACAATGGGGAGCCGACTAAACCGGCTGCAGGGTCACCTCGCTTGATGATTAACATGATCGTTGGTGGCGATGAAGTAAATGGGGTGACATTTTCAGCAACAAAGAAGACGAAGATATTGGTAACACATGGCAAGAGGATTCGAGAAGCTTTAAAAGATGATGACATCACCTTCACGAAAGAGGATGCTGATGGAATTCTTCTCCCGCACAACAATGCTCCTATAATATCTCTTAATGTGTTAGATTTTAAAATAAAACATGTGTTGGTTGATTCAGGTAGTTCAGCCAATATCATAAAATGAAGAGTTTTTGAGCAAGTTAAGTTAATTGGAAACATAGTTCCGGCAACAAAGCTTCTGGTCTGGTTCAACCTTAGAAGTGTAATGACCCGTGGAGAGATTTTATTGCCAACGCATGCAGAAGGCGTAACAAAGACCACTCAGTTCGAAGAGGTAGATGAAGACATGGGATACAACGTGATTCTTGGAAGGCCCTGGATACATGAAATGAAGGTTGTGCCGTCAACTTATCAACAACTGTTGAAGTTTCCCACACCGAATGGGGTCAAACAATTTAGAGGAGATCAACTAGCTGCAAGAGAAATGAATACAGGTACCTTGTCCAGTAGCAAGGGGAAAGAAGCAAGCAAATAACATCTACAGGATTCGGGGCCTTTTCCAATTCCTATCAAGTACCGAGATCTTTTCAGGTACCGGAGGAAATAAACAGAACCAAATTGATCCTAGAGGAGCTCGAACAAGTTGCCTTATTCACAGAGTTCTTCGAGAGGATATTCCACTTAGGAATAGGGTTGAGCCCCAAAATAAATCAAAAAATTATTAATTTTCTTAAAGCTAACGTCGATTGTTTTGCGTGGTCACACTAAGATATGACAGGTATCCCATTAGATGTGGCTATACACAAGCTATGTTTGGACCCTAAATTCCCTTCGGTAAGGCAGTAGAAGCGAACGATAGGAGAGGTCAAAAACAGGTTTGTCAAAGAAGAGGTAACCCGGTTACTGAATATAGGTTGAATTTGAGAGGTTAATTACCCCGATTGGTTAGCTAATGTAGCAGTACTACCTAAAAAGAATAATAAATTTAGAATGTGTGTAGATTATAAGGATATGAGTAAGGCATGTCCTAAGGACTCTTTCCCGTTGCAAAACATTGATCAAATGATCGATGCTACGACCGGCCATGAGTTAATGAGCTTTCTTGACGCGTATTCCGGGTATAATCAAATAAGGATGGACCCGGAAGATCAAGAAAGAACCTCGTTTATCACAATTGGCACAAACTTCTATAATGTGATTTCTTTCGGGCTTAAGAACGCCGGAGTCACTTACCAAAGGCTCGTTAATAAAATGTTTGAACAACAAATTGGAAAAATAATGGAGGTCTATATTGATGATATGTTGGTTAAGTCTCTTAATGCAATAGATCATTTGTAACGACCCGGCCGGTCGTTTTAATCATTAACACCCCGATCCCCTATTAACTGCATTCCCCGTGTTTGTTTCTGCTATTGTCAGTTGCATGGAGGATTTATTTGGAGTTTCGAAGTGTTTTGGGACACTTAATCCCTAAATGAGAGTTTAAGTTCTAAAATTTGGACCGTAGTCGGAACAGTGTGAAGATGGCCTTGGAATGGGTGATTTCGGGCTTAGGGGCGTGTTCGGATTGTGTTTTGGAGGTCCGTAGCTTAATTAGGCTTGAAATGACGAAAGTTGAATTTTTGAAGTTTCCGGTTCGATAGTGAGATTTTGATATCGGGGTCGGAATGGAATTCCGGAAGTTGGAGTAGCTCCATAGTGTTGAATAAGACGTGTGTGCAAAATTTCAGGTCATTCGGACGAGGTTTGATAGACTTTTTAATCGAAAGCGTAAATTGAGAGTTTTTGAAGTTCTAGGCTTGAATCCGATGCTAATTGGTTGATTCGATGTTTTTTAAGGGGTTTGAAAATTTTATTAGTTTGGATAGTGGTATATGACTTGTTCGTGCTTTTGGTTGAGGTCCCGGGGGCCTCGGGATGATTTCGGATGGTTGACGGAAAGTTAGGAATTTGGAGTTGCAGCTGAAGTTTATGGCTGCTGTCATAACCGCATCTGCGGTTGAGAGACCGTAGGTGCGACTCCCGCAGATGCGGAATCAAGCCGCAGGAGCGGCCAAGAGGTGAGTCGTGAGGAGCCGCAGAAGCGGATGCCCAGACGCATCTGCGATGGCGGAGGTGCGAGTGAGTGACCGCAGGTGTGGTCCCAGGCCTTTAAGTGAGAACCACATATGCGGTGAGTTAGACCGCAGAAGCGGGACCGCAGAAGCGGGTAATGGACCGCAGGTGCGGAAATTCCTGGGTCAGAAAGTATATAAGGTTTCCTTCGTGAATTTTTGCTATGTTCTCCATTTTTGAAGACGGGAAGTGAGCTAGGGTAGTGAATTTCAAGGGGAAATCAGAGGTTTTCAGTCAGGTAAGCTACCTAAGCTTCAATACTTGAGTTTATGATCATTTTTCCATTTTTAAATCGTGGTATTAGTGGAAATTAAGGAAGAAAATTGAGGGATTAGGGCTTGATATTGGAGAGCTTTGAGTGGTGATTTGAGGGACCAATTGAGGTCCGATTTTGGTAATTTTGGTATGCATGAACTTGTGAGAGTGTGAGGATTCTAAATTTGTAAGTTTTACCCGATTCCGAGATGTGGGCCTGGGGGGGGAGGGGGGGCATTTTGGTTATGTTTCCTAATTTCGCGTATTAGCTTAGAATTAATTAGTGGAATCAGTTACTTGAAGTTTTATTTACATTATGCAATTTGATTTGAATAGATTTGGGCCATTTGGAGTCGAGTACTCGTGGCAAGAGCGTGGTTTCGGGTTGATTTTTTAGCCGGCTCGAGGTAAGTGGCTTGCCTAACCTTGTGTGGGGGAACTCCCCTTAGGATTTGGTATTGTTGATATTGAAATGCCTTGTATGTGAGGTGACGAGTGCGTACTTGTGCTAATTATTGAAAATTCGGTTTTCATTAAGTAACTAAAATTGTGTTTCCTTTCTTGTTTATACTACTTGCAATTTAAGCCTGCTGTTAGCTTAGGGAAGCATGTCTAATTGACTTAATTGCTTATTTTCTCAACTGCCTTATTTGAATTATGTGCAGCATGCTAGGTTAGAAATACCTGTTTTACCTTGGTGTGAAATTTGATTGAATTGAGTATTCTTCGTGTTGCTGTGGTGTAATTACTTTGGGACTACGGGACGGTATCCCGGGAGATCCCCCTGTATGTTTACTTTGGGACTACGGATTTGTATTCCGGGAGATACCCCTGTACTTTTACATTGGAACTGCGGGACTGCACCTGGTAGATTTCCCAAGTACTGAGTACTTACATTTGGGACTACGGATCGGGATTCCGATAGATCCCCGCGCACTATGAGTTGGACTAGGGGACTGTATCCCGGGAGATCCATTGGATATTTACATTTGAACTACGGGACGGTATCCCGGGAGATCCACTGGATATTTATATTTGGGACTACAGGACGGTATCTTGGGAGATCCCCGGTTGTTATCTCTGTGTGAGCTGTATTCCTTTCCGTGATTATTTTGTCTCTGTTATAGCTGTTGTTGTTCGTTCTATCCTGTGTTACTTCTTACTGTTGCACTTAACTATACTGTCTTATTCTGTGCTGTTATACCTTGTATTTCATTTAACCTCAGTAGGGCCTGACTTTCCTCGTCACTACCCGACCGAGGTTAGGTTTGGCACTTACTGAGTACCGCCGTGGTGTACTCATGCCCTTTTTGCGCATGTTTTTCATGTGCAGATCCAGGTACTGCCACGCAGTCTTATCACCCTTGAGGCGAGGCGCTTTTGTAGAGACTTCGAGGTATATCTGCTGCGTCCGCAGACAGAGGAGTCCCTTTCTATTCTCTGTACTAGTTTAGCCCTTATGTATTTTCCTTGTTGATAGACTTTTCTGGAGTTAGAGCTTTTTATGTATCTCTTAGCTTGTGATTCATGGGATTCCGGGTTTTGGGAATTGTTCAGTTTTTGAGATCTTGTATTGTTATATGCCGAGCGACATCTTAAACACTTCTACATTCGTTTATCTTCAGTTTTTATTAGTTTTTCGCATTTTGTTCCTTTTTCCGCAATTGTCAGGCTTACCTAGTCGTAGATACTAGGTGCCGTCACTACAGTTCACGGAGGGCGAACTTGGGTCATACAAGTTGGTATCAGAGCTCTAGGTTCATTAGAGTCATGAATCACAAGCCGGTTTATTAGAGTCTCGCAGATCGGCACGGAGACGTCTGTACTTTTCTACGAGAGGCTATGTAACTGTTAGGAAAATTCCACTTCATTTGATTTCCTTGTCGTGCGAGATTTTGATATCACAATTCTAAACTTCTGTCTTCTATTCTCTCACAAATGGTGAGGACACGTGCTACCCGAGATGATCAGGCACCCGCGCCCCCTACTAGAACCGTCAGAGGCCGAGGCCGGGGTAGAGGCCGAGGACGCGCACGTGGTGCAGCCAGAGCACCCGCGCGAGCTGCCACTGAGGTGCCACCAGTAGTTCCAGCCGGAGTCCAGACACCTGATACGCCTACTGCTACTACTACTCCAGCACTCCAGGAGACTCTGGCGCAGTTTATGACTATGTACACCACTCTAGCTCAGGCAGGGTTGCTTCCCCTTGCTGCAGCTACATCCCAGTCCGGGGAGGAGCACAGACTCCCACCACCCGCACTCCTGAACACTCCTGAGTGCATGTTGAACAGATCCTAGAGATTGTACCGGCACAACCTGTAGCCCCAGCTCAGCCCGAGGAGAGGGCAGTAGATTCAGAGGAGGAGCAGAAGAGGCTTGAGTGGTTCAAGAAGTATCAGGCTCCTACATTCAGCGGACTAGCCTCAGATGATGCTCTTGGATTTCTAGAGGAGTGCTACCGTATCCTCCGTACCATGGGTATATCAGGATCGAACGGGGTTTCCTTCACTACCTTCCAGCTTCGAGGTGCTGCCTATCATTTGTGGCGTGCTTATGAGTTAGGCAGTCTGGATGAGGCAGCTTCCCTGACTTGGGCTCAGTTTTCAGATATGTTCACGAGAGAGTATGTTCCCCAGAGTCTCAGGGACGCTTGGCACGTAGAGTTTGAGCATTTGCGCCAGGGTACTATGACTGTCTCGGAGTATGCTGTTCGTTTCACTGACCTCGCTAGACATGCACCAGCTTTGGTTTCTACTGTTCGCGAGAGGGTTCGCCGGTTTATTGAGGGGCTTATTCCCAGCATCAGGTCTAGCATGGCTCGGGAGTTGGAGATGGATATTCAATATCAACATGTGGTGAGCATTGCTAGGAGGATAAAGGGTATGATGCTCGAGACAGAGAGGAGAGAGAGGCCAAGAGGTCTCGAGAGTCGGGCCATTATTCTCGTACCCGTGCTTCAGCTATAGTTCGTCATGGTAGGGATTACATGAGTCGCCCCGTTCATTCAGCTCTTCCAGCAACCAGTGGTATTCCAACTCCTGCTAGGCCTTAGGAGCCTTATTATGCACCACCAGTATCTAGTGCGCCTCCTGTACGGGGTGCTTCCTGTGGTCAGTCCAGCAGACTTGGCTCGAGCCAGTCGCAGCCGCCACGTCCTCCCAGAGC